CTTTGTTTGTGTTTTAACACTGTCTCATTCCTCTTGTTTCTTCAGGAACATCATATACAAACAAATCATGGATCTGTATCTGTTGCAGTGTATGGTGATCATGACAAGCCTGCTCTTGTTACTTGTCCAGATGTTGCTTTAAATTGTAAGTACAACACGCTAGTTTAAAGTGCTCGAGCTTTCTTGAAATTATTCCAGCAATCTGAAAATTGAGTGCTAAACTCCATGTTATTGCTGGTCAGATATGTCTTGTTTCGAAGGATTACTCTTCTGCCCTGAAGCTGCTTCACTGCTGCTTCACAATTTTTGCATTTACCATATCAGCCCCCCAGGACACGAGGTCAGTAATTTGCAACTACTAAGCCTTGCATTTGCCATTAACATGACTCATCACATAAATTGTAGTTTTTATATTTTCTCATTACTACTTTTCTTGTATCCTATTGTGCAAATCATGTAGTTGGGAGCAGCTCCAATTTCACCGAAAACACCTGTACCATCTGTTGATGACTTGGCGGATCAGGTTGCGGATGTTCTTGATTTCTTTGGGTAATCTTCTATTGGATTCTTTTAAAATTTATATCAAGCTCAAACGATCTTGCCAATATTTTGTGGATTAACTTTTGTTTTCTTGTCAAATTTGCACATTCCAGATTAGGTTCTGTTATGTGCTTAGGTGCCACTGCGGGTGCTTACATTCTTACTCTCTTTGCAGTAGGTGTTTCTTTCAAGCATGTGTTCGGTGTATTGCTTATTTATGAAGACTTTTTATTGAGCCACACACTCTTCTGCAGGCAAAGTGTAGGGAGCGTGTATTAGGTCTTGTACTTGTTTCACCCCTATGTAAAGCTCCCACATGGACTGAGTGGTTTTATAGTAAGGTAATTTTGCAGCATATGACATACTGGGTCTCAAATTTGATATTTCCTTAAAAAATAGGACTGTACAGAACTAGTGATAATTTTGCATTCTTAGGTGGAGTCAAATTTGTTGTATTACTATGGGATGTGTGGGTTGGTCAAGGAAAGCTTACTGCAGCGGTTCTTCAGCAAGGTAACTATGGCTTGCTTTAATTTCCTCCACATGACATTTCCTTTGCTTTTCTTGAAAACATCCTTGAATCCTTAGGAAGTAAGGGGATGCTCTGAGTCACCTGAATCAGATATAGTGCAGGGTTGTAGAAGTGTAAGCACCGCATACTTTTCTCCTCCTCTATTAATTATTGTCTTTTCCCTTTGAGCTATTAAGTCTAGACTTATGTTCTTTGGCATGTTGCAGTTGCTAGATCAGCGGCAGAGCATGAACGTGTGGCGGTTTGTAGAGGCAATGAACGGGTAAGTGTACATTGCACATTGCATGTTTCTTCATTCCAGTATCTCTAGTGCCATGTTAGTTCATAGTTCATACTGAACTGAAACAAATTTTGGAATGATCTCCAGGAGATATGATTTGACGGAAGGGCTGAAGCAGCTTCAGTGTAGAACCCTTATTTTTGTTGGCAAGAATTCTCAGTTCCACGTGGAGGCTGTTCACATGACAGCAAAGCTCGATAGGAGATATTGTGCTCTAGATGAGGTAAAAAAATATATTTACATACTCCTTCCGTCCCATAATGTAAGACGCAGTACCATTTAAATGTTTTAGTTGTGGTGACCTCTGTAAATCTGTTGCAGGTGCAAGCATGCGGGTCACTCGTGACGGAGGAGCAACCTCATGCAATGCTTATACCGATGGAGTACTTCTTCATGGGGTACGGCCTCTACAAGCCAAGCGAGCTCGACTGCAGCCCGCGCAGCCCCCTGAGCCCATTTTGTATATCGCCGGAGCTCCTTTCGCCTGAGAGCATGGGAGTAAAGCTAAAGCCAATCAAGACACGAGCGCGGCTTCAAGTGTAGAGCAAGTGAATAAGGGCGGCATAGGTCTTTGCCATTTAGGGTGAAATTTCTGGGCTAACATGTGGATCGGTGAGATATTTGTGTTACTACTGTTATATGTAGATAAGAAATGATAGGTTGGGTAGGTTGGCGGTATTCTATTCCATTCCATTGATTTTTAGCCTGTAAATTGTTATACTCCACTTGCTACATTGTTGATTAAAGCAAAAGGGAAATAATAGGGAAGGGTGAATTGTTCCCTTTTTTTTTCCGACAAGGACGATTTTATTATCTCAGAATGTAACATCGAGCGGATACAAAACATTATGAGTACCACCCGGCCTCTGCATAAATATTTATGCACACAGTCAAATCCAAAAGTCTCACAAAAATTATGAAATAAAAACTGACATATCGGCAATAGTAGTCTTATAGACCGACACTATGCCTATGTTGAAGGTGGCGGTGGATTGATCCGGAGGTTATGCTGGCATCCATGTTGGAAAAAACCCTTCGTAGCCACCTGCTCCAACCGCGTACACACCGCCTTGAACAACGGTTGGTGCTCCGGTCGTTGTAGTATAGACCACGTATGAAGTGAGTGCGTACAACAGAAAATAACCTGCAGAGGAGAAATATTTTTTCCATTAAAAACCAAATCGTTTCAACATAGTCAGAGCGACCAAATTAAGGCATATGCTCTCGCCCTTATAAGCGCTTTAAACCTATTTAGAATACCGTCCAACCAATGACCAAATATATTGGCAACACTTGTGGGCGGATATAAATTTGACGCTATTTGGATGATTGACCACGTAGAACATGCAAACTTGCATTGAAAAAAGAGGTGCTTGATTGTCTCGTCATGAGTGCAAAAAACAACACTTCTTACTCCCTGGTCAGTTGCGTCGTGCGAGGTTGTCTTTGATTAACACAACTCCCTTATGAAGATACCACATGAAGATTTTCACTTTTAGTAGAATCTTGGACTTCCAAATTTTCTTGTTGTTACTCACTGATACCTCAGAATGGGTGAGCGCACGGTACATAGAGTGTACTGTGAAAGACGCTGATGTAGTAAGGTTCAGCAAAACGCATCCCGTCCTTGCGTCAGGTTAATTGAATCCAGCCGGGATAAAAGATTATGCCATGACAGAAGTCGGGG